GGGCAGCGGCTGTCATAGTGATGACTAAGTGGCTTGTGGGCTCTGAGGACAATGGCGCTGCGAAGCCTCCACAAAGCACGCGGCTAATGCCGCCCTTTCAGCGAGGCCTGCCGGGCTGCTGAGTGTGCAAGGCCGCCGGGCGGATGGTCCAGGGGGACCCGGTCCTATAAAGGGGCAAGCGAGGCTCTCTACCCCGTCATTGATTTTACTGGATCTGTCCCACCTCAGTACCGTCTGTAAGTATGTCAATGTATTCGATTTGGAGTCAGCTCTGTGAACGCAGGTCATAGTCAAAATGCTAGTTTTTTTGTTTAGAGGGATGGAATAAAAATAATGTTTCTGACCGGTCGGTGTCATTGTGATAGGTTTTAAATAAAAGCGGGTGAATTCATCCATGTTTTTTGGACCGTGCAGTTAAGTGTAAATGACAAATACCCGGATTGGTATTAACCTTGTTCTTTACTTTTGACTAAAAAAAAAAAAAAAAAGCTAAAATTTTCCCTTAAAAAAAATGGAAATATTGCACCTGTCAAACCATGTCATTTTCATATAGTAGAGCTACATTTCTTAATCGTGACGATCTTGCGTTGATCAATTTCCATTTCCAGGACAAGACGATGCTCATTAAACCTTGTTGCAGGTCAAATTCACCCTTTTTAAAGGTCTTTTTTTTTAAAAATTGGGGAAGATTTTGTGATAGAACTCCTTTCTTACTTATCATCCAAATATTTTTGGATGATAAGTATTATTTAAGCTCGCGTACGTTTTCCCATGCATGCTTCCAATAATACAGCACCCGTAACTGACACTACACCTTTTGATATGGTGCGATTACGGTATATGGTCATTGTAACAAAATGAAAAAAAAAAAAAACACAGGATAACCCCCCTTTCGTATTTAATAAAAAATTCTTTGATTTCGATAACACAAAATTGAGCCTTAAACATTTCCAATGTAGCAAATGTGAGAGGAGTGTTCATCGACCCGGTCGCTCCATTCAATTCTCATGCGCGATGCCTCGTCCAGAGAGCACAGTGTGACGGCGGAAGCAGCGGGAGCAGCCATGAACACTCAGCAGTTGGAGCAAATGGGCCAGTTCAAGATTACTGTTTGGGAAGAAGAGAACTTCCAGGGCAAGCGCTGCGAGTTCATGCTGGAGTGCCAGAACATCATGGAGCGAGGCTTCAACAAGATCCGCTCCATCAAGGTCGAGAACGGACCGTAAGTAGGACTCCGGGAACCAGTCCGACTCATTTCAACGCATTCTCGTACAATGATTGGGGAGATGTAACAAAAAGCCGACGGTACTGGAACAGCTGAACTTTATTCGGGATTGGCTTTATTCAGCTGGAACTGGGAGAATTAGTTAAGTTAGTTATGAAGAATAAATAATGCCTTTTTTTCACAAAGCCTTCAGGATTGACCCCCCCCCTCTAAAAAAACGTCTATTTTGGACACCTGAAATTTGGGGTTAATCAGAGGCCCTTTAAATTGGTGGCAGCTGTTTGCTCAGTCCCATTAAACACGAGTTTGTATGTGATTGGTTCAATCCGAACATAGCCACATCCCACTTAGGAGAGGGTGTGCACACATGTGCAAACTTTTTTTTTCTTTTTTTACATCCCATCTCGAAAATACTACAAAAAAATCATTTGAGCAGTTACAGAATTATAGTCTACATTAATGGTGGGAAAACGTTTGCAATGTCGGGCTCATTTTTTTTTTTAGATTGCAAAAATCCTGCCTTTAGACGGGGGTGTGCAGACTTTTTACATCCCTGTTAATAACGTCCAATTCGAAAAGTGAAATACAAATACACTCAGTAGATTCCAACTCAATATATCATTCAGATAGATTCACAGTGAGTGAAGCTTAAAAGTACAATTTAGCTGATTATGACTTACAGCTAACAATCTACCCTCCCCAAAACTTGTCATGTTCAAATGTGAAAGTTATCACTTTGCAACAGCGATAACGACCGCATTTATGTGTATTTTTTTTTTCCACGATGTGGCAGCAATTGCACGTGCGTATTATTGCATTTCTGGTTAGCATGCATCAAGTGTGACCCGGCTGCGATATGAGCCGCCCGGTCGCGCGCATCTGCTGGCCGGGAGCCATAATGGCTGACTGACTGCCGATCAGATAACACGCCTTCAGCTGCAGCAGAATTAAATGTTTGCTTTGTGCCGCCTTTCACAGAAAAAGCAGCTGCACGCTGTGTTCATTACAGGCTATTGTGAGCCGTACGCGCGGCCGTGTTGTCCGAGCAAATGCAAAGTTGCATCTTAACAGCCATCCGTCAACTCTTGGTCCACTTGTAGCTGGGTGGGGTACGAGTACCCCGAGTTCCAGGGCCAGCAGTTCATCCTGGAGAAGGGCGACTACCCTCGCTACGAGGCCTGGAGCGGAAACAGCAGCTACAGGACCGAGCACATTCTTTCCTTCAGACCCATCAAGTGTGCCGTAAGTGCTGTTTGTGGTGTGTTTGTGGATTGGACTTCACGGGTAGCGTTTAAAGCTCGAGTCTCCTCCAATCTAATCATGTTCATTTGTTGTAAGCCACCGTAACAATAATTATACAGTATATTTATATCAATGATATGCATGTTAGGGGTGTAATGAAAATCGATTTGAATTACCACTTGACGAAAAACAAACAAAAAAAAATTGAGTAAATTCAATGCACCATTTTTTTTCACTGTAGGAGGTTTGCGCGTGACGCCTGCGAATAAGCCAGTTGGTTCTTCAAAATACACAAAATGTAATTCTCTTAGTTTGATGTTTACTTTGACGGTACACGTCAACAGAGACTGCCACAGCTTCACGCTTCATTTTTGAAGGGCTTTCCACTACCCGCCAAACTGCCGTCACTTGTCCCTCTCGGCATCAGCGTGCAACCCGAACTGTGGCGAGGAAGTGACTCTTTGGCACATCACTAGAGGGAGCCCTCGCACCACTAGTGGCATTGCTGTCGATAGAACCAAGTTGTCATTGATCCTGCCTCCCATGCGCTGAAAATGTTGTCTCTCGCAGAACCACAGCGACAGCAAGGTGACCCTGTACGAGAGTGAGGACTTCCAGGGCCGTAAGTTTGAAATGAGCGACGACTATCCCTCCCTACAGGCCATGGGCTGGTGCACCAAAGAGGTGCCATCTATCAAAGTGAACTCCGGAGCGTAAGTTCTCCACAACTCTTCTGCTATGTTCGTAAACAAAAAACAAACAAAAAAAAAAGGATGTATATGTATATATATATGGCTCTGTATTTTTTAAGAATATTTTCTTGTTTCCTGAGCAAGATAATGTTCTTTGTGAGAATGACATTTTTACCGGAATTAATTAGTGTTCGGGGCTGGGGAAAGACACATGAAGTCCGCAGACACATTTAAGTCACCAGCAGTTATCCCCACGTCATCGTGTATCTGATGAGGGCATTTGCATACGTTGCCTGCTGCCACATCGGCCAAGAACACGAGATCAGTAACAATGCTCCGGTCACGCACAGATTGCTGTGTCCTTTTCCACACACCGATGTCCTCATGCGAAATGTGAGTGTGCCACATTTAAAAGAAAAGAAACGCTTTGATTGGCAGCAAATTGAGTCATTTGTGTTCACACCCACAACAGCGCAAATCGCCTTTTTTTCCCCCTTTCATTCGCTGGCTAAGACTAATCAAGATTAAATGCCTTTGGGTGTGTGTGTGCGTGTGTGTGTGTGTGTGTTTTTGTGACAGCTGGGTGGCCTACCAGTTCCCCGGTTACCGCGGCTACCAGTACATCCTGGAGCGAGACAGACACCAAGGCGAGTACAGAAACTACAACGAGTACAGCACCCAGGCTCACACCAACCAGGTGCAGTCCATCCGGAGGATCCAGCACTAGGCTTGACCCAATCCGAAAAACTGAATGCTTTCCTCACTTCGACCGGACGGAGCACCGCCGCGCAACAGTAGATGGACTCAGTCGTTCTCTCTCACTGTGGCTCGACACGTTTGGATGTCTGAATGCCTGCTTCCTTCACCATGCGCAAGCATGATTCTGGAAAGAGGAAATAAAGGCTTTTGTTCCAAAGGAGGCTGCTCCGAAGTGTTTTTTTTGGACATTTCAAGTGATCACGTACGCAGTATATATGCGACACACGCATGCAGAGCTCCTACCTAAGAAAGAATTCTTGGGAGATGAATAAAGCTCAAGTCAACTGAATTTTGTGTATCACGACATGCAGTGAAAATCAAAGAACTTTCATCAAAGATTAAAATGTATTAGCACTATTGTTTATGTGTAACACATTTTAATCACGTGCACCTGATGCGCATGTTTGAATTAAATAAATTCAAAATCCGTCATTTCGTCCACGATATAAAAATCCCCAAAGCATGGCACACGCTACGTTACTTTAGCGAGGGTTTTATACCTCTAACGATGCCAATTTGCTCATTTGGATCTAGCGTGACATCTTCAATCCCTTTGTCACGACTGTATATGTAGACCTCGGGGCAGCACAGGGTGTGTTCACTGTTTGTCTTTAGCTAGCTAGCTAGCTAGCTAGCTAGCTAGCATAGCCACGTCTGCTATGACACAATTGCGACCTACTCCAAAAGAAAGTCTTCTGGTTGCATTGTGTTTCTGACTTGCGTTGCGCTCGAATGGCTCTGCTTTGGTGTGCGGTGTATGAGGAGGACACAATAAGATCAAATAAATAAACGTTCATAATTCCTAATTCTTGCAGTAGCTAGGTGCGATTGAAGCTAAAGGCCAAACGGCCGTCTTTCTTGCACAAGCCTAATTTTTGTTTGTGCTCCAGCACTTTTAATTTACATGCTAATGCCTGCTGATTAGTCGATGCTTTGCGAATCCACAATCTTTGCCCGCAATGGAACACGGGCATGTATAGTTGACGTCCATGCAGCAGCATTAAAAATTGGGTCCTCGAACAGTGTTTTGAGGGTTTGCAATTCTTAAAGACTTCAGCGTTGTGTGATTCTGTTCATGATGACTGCGGCCCGATTCTAAAGAAGACACCAACAGCACTTCGTTTGAATTCTTCGAGTTTAAAACGGAAACCGGAACGGAAAGTTTAGCCTTTGTTTGGCTATTCTAATGTGACAAAATCATATTTATTTTACAGTCACAGACGTGGATCCTGGAGTGTGTTTACCTCCACACGCACCCCTCCCACTCTCCAGGACGTGCGAGTCCGCATTACACACCCACAGCTCGGCACGAATTTATAGTCCCACGCCCAAAAAAACAGGATATTTTAATAAATGTGTAACTGTGTGCACAGCGCACACCTTTGTCAAATACACATTCCTCCGCAGTCGGATTAAAGCCGCTCTGCTGTCACTCGACGAGGACTGACGCCGCTCGGTTGTTCACGTCCAGGTGAGGTGCCACTTGGACTACAAAGTGCCAACGGTAAGTCTGCCAGCGTATTTACGAGACGGGGGCGGCCACGACACTCTACGGAACCGCAGCGTTGGACCAAGGACAAGGCGCTAGTCTCATGCTAACTCTCGCTTCTATCTAGCGGAGCAGAACGGCCTCGGTGGACTTCTTTCCGGAGTGGGAGGTGGGAGGTCAGGTGGATGCGGTCCAGCCTTCGAGGCTTGTTTTAAGTTGCCTGCGACGTGTATTTGGACACAGGCAGCTAAAGCAAGTCTGGGATGCGAGAGACACCCGTCAGCCTCGCGGAGAAGAAGACGCCGTCCCGGACTCGCGAAGGGGTGGGGGTGGCGACTCCTCCTCTCCCCCCCCGTGAAGTGTTGAAGGCTGTCGGGGCCTTTTTAGCGCTTGTGGGAGTGGGATGGAAAATGGAAAAAAAAACACACACACACACAGAAATGTTCAATGTTGATGCAGAATGAATGTGTTGGCTCAGTCACTATCTTGAGCAATGATTAGCAGAGCACTCCGGTTTAGTCCTCTGATTACTTGGAGATGGACGATTATACTTTCATGTAAAGTATGTTCTTAAACTATTTGACATGATACCACGCACGTGTGTTGCTGCCACACCAGAAAAAAAACGTTCAATATTACGTTTCACCTTTCAATGTGATTGGTTGCCACGTTAAAACGTTTTGAGTTTCACATTGTAATCTGATAAATTTCACGTTTCACGAGAAGGTAACGAGTTTCGTGTTGAATGTGATACGTTTCACATTAAAACACGACCATTTTCACACAAAAAAAAAACGTGAAAATATTTCCATTTTATTACGTTACAATGTGATGATAGATTTGACTTCCGGTTCACGTGACTGGCCGAGTTACGAGATACGCAACGACGGATAATAGGCTATCGCGTTAAAACGTGATCTTCTCCACTTTAAAATACGATAAATTCCATGCTAAAATGTGACAATTACTCCAGTTTTGGGTGTCATCATTTTCACCTTAAAATGTGATGTTTGACTTCCGGTTCACGTTTTTTATTATCTCATAATAAAATGATTTCCAGCACATGATCAATTTCATGTTGAAAATGAGAAATTATCACATTTTTACGAGAACATTTCCTAATTTTAACATGAAAGTTATCGCGTTTTGTGAAATCATTATAACTCATCATTTTAAAACCAGTTGTGGTAAGTAGACTCCCTCTTGTGGTAAACAATAGAATCGTTAATTGAACTGATCAAACTGCATCCATATTGTTTCAGCAGTTCGATATTTAAAAAAAAAAAATCCAGTCCAAAGCATGTTTTTTGAGTACATTTCAGGTGTATTTTACTTTCAAGTACAATAGATTAGATTTTATTTTGTAATTGAATCTAAAGAAGCAGGTGTATTTCAGAAGCCGTTTTATAATAGTTTGGTATTGTTCTTTATCTTGTTTTCACTTTTACTTTAATTGTTTTTTTAGAACCAGTTTGTTAGTTTGTATTTGTTTTTATTTTTCTGTAAGTGCTTTTTTAAGTTTAGTTTTTATTGGTTTTAGTATTAGTTTTAGTTTTTTACCCACAACTCTCAAACGACTGTTTCGTTTCCCTCTCCCCAATACCAAAATAAAAAACAAACCCCAAAAGCTGATATTGATTACAAAAAGGATAACAAAGGATAATTTCGCTTCGATTACAGTGAATTTTACTTAGGTACATGCACAATTTTTTGTTATTTTCAAAGCATTTTTGACCCGATTCTAAAGAAGACACCAACAGCACTTCGTTTGAATTCTTCGAGTTTAAAACGGAAACCGGAACGGAAAGTTTAGCCTTTGTTTGGCTATTCTAATGTGACAAAATCATATTTATTTTACAGTCACAGACGTGGATCCTGGAGTGTGTTTACCTCCACACGCACCCCTCCCACTCTCCAGGACGTGCGAGTCCGCATTACACACCCACAGCTCGGCACGAATTTATAGTCCCACGCCCAAAAAAACAGGATATTTTAATAAATGTGTAACTGTGTGCACAGCGCACACCTTTGTCAAATACACATTCCTCCGCAGTCGGATTAAAGCCGCTCTGCTGTCACTCGACGAGGACTGACGCCGCTCGGTTGTTCACGTCCAGGTGAGGTGCCACTTGGACTACAAAGTGCCAACGGTAAGTCTGCCAGCGTATTTACGAGACGGGGGCGGCCACGACACTCTACGGAACCGCAGCGTTGGACCAAGGACAAGGCGCTAGTCTCATGCTAACTCTCGCTTCTATCTAGCGGAGCAGAACGGCCTCGGTGGACTTCTTTCCGGAGTGGGAGGTGGGAGGTCAGGTGGATGCGGTCCAGCCTTCGAGGCTTGTTTTAAGTTGCCTGCGACGTGTATTTGGACACAGGCAGCTAAAGCAAGTCTGGGATGCGAGAGACACCCGTCAGCCTCGCGGAGAAGAAGACGCCGTCCCGGACTCGCGAAGGGGTGGGGGTGGCGACTCCTCCTCTCCCCCCCGTGAAGTGTTGAAGGCTGTCGGGGCCTTTTTAGCGCTTGTGGGAGTGGGATGGAAAATGGAAAAAAAAACACACACACACACAGAAATGTTCAATGTTGATGCAGAATGAATGTGTTGGCTCAGTCACTATCTTGAGCAATGATTAGCAGAGCACTCCGGTTTAGTCCTCTGATTACTTGGAGATGGACGATTATACTTTCATGTAAAGTATGTTCTTAAACTATTTGACATGATACCACGCACGTGTGTTGCTGCCACACCAGAAAAAAAACGTTCAATATTACGTTTCACCTTTCAATGTGATTGGTTGCCACGTTAAAACGTTTTGAGTTTCACATTGTAATCTGATAAATTTCACGTTTCACGAGAAGGTAACGAGTTTCGTGTTGAATGTGATACGTTTCACATTAAAACACGACCATTTTCACACAAAAAAAAAACGTGAAAATATTTCCATTTTATTACGTTACAATGTGATGATAGATTTGACTTCCGGTTCACGTGACTGGCCGAGTTACGAGATACGCAACGACGGATAATAGGCTATCGCGTTAAAACGTGATCTTCTCCACTTTAAAATACGATAAATTCCATGCTAAAATGTGACAATTACTCCAGTTTTGGGTGTCATCATTTTCACCTTAAAATGTGATGTTTGACTTCCGGTTCACGTTTTTTATTATCTCATAATAAAATGATTTCCAGCACATGATCAATTTCATGTTGAAAATGAGAAATTATCACATTTTTACGAGAACATTTCCTAATTTTAACATGAAAGTTATCGCGTTTTGTGAAATCATTATAACTCATCATTTTAAAACCAGTTGTGGTAAGTAGACTCCCTCTTGTGGTAAACAATAGAATCGTTAATTGAACTGATCAAACTGCATCCATATTGTTTCAGCAGTTCGATATTTAAAAAAAAAAAATCCAGTCCAAAGCATGTTTTTTGAGTACATTTCAGGTGTATTTTACTTTCAAGTACAATAGATTAGATTTTATTTTGTAATTGAATCTAAAGAAGCAGGTGTATTTCAGAAGCCGTTTTATAATAGTTTGGTATTGTTCTTTATCTTGTTTTCACTTTTACTTTAATTGTTTTTTTAGAACCAGTTTGTTAGTTTGTATTTGTTTTTATTTTTCTGTAAGTGCTTTTTTAAGTTTAGTTTTTATTGGTTTTAGTATTAGTTTTAGTTTTTTTTAATTGATGGAGTGTTTGTTCAGTGCAAGATTTAAAAAAAGTATTCTGTAATAAAGTAAACCACAACTCTCAAACAACTGTTTCGTTTCCTTCTCCCCAATACCAAAATAAAAAACAAACCCCAAAAGCTGATATTGATTACAAAAAGGATAACAAAGGATGATTTCGCTTCGATTACAGCGAATTTTACTTAGGTACATGCACAACTTTTTGTTATTTTCAAAGCATTTTTGATATTTTATTTCATTCGGGAATTTTTTTCTAATTATCTTGCTTGTTTTCGTGAACTCCAATAACCTTGCTTGGAATCATCATGTGCAATACACTTGAATTGAATCATATTACGTCGATTTTTTTCGTATTTAATCACAGTGTTAATGTTCCATAAGCGTTACAATGACTTACAATAAGACACTTTTAATGTTCTTTTTTTCCTGGTGAACAGGCCTATGTATTTCAATGGTGCTCAGCATTTTTGATTAGATTTATTGATTTCTTTTTTTCGCCCATCGAACAAATAGAATAATGTGAATTTAGAGGGATGCTGCACCCTTTTTTTCAATGCCTTTGTCCATCCCTCCCATTTGTGCTTTTTCTTTTTTTTTTTTTTTTTTTTGGCACGCAGCATCAGGTTTGCAGCGTCCGTGTTGTCCGACGTCCATTCGAGCGTGCTCGTCAAGGTAAAGCCTGTCCGAAGTGCAGTCTTGTCTGTTTGCAGAGAGCAAAAGAGGCGGAAAATCAAGCAAGACGTGAACTGGTTTCCATGTCAAACACTTCAATTCACCATAGAAACTCAGATCTTAACGCGGCGACTTTATTAAACTGTGATGGCGGATTGATAAGGGCCCAATTTCTATCGCCCTTGCTCGCGTTTTTTTTTTTTATTGTGGGCGCCAAGGC